ATCAGCTAAAAATAAAATCAGATGGTTCGTGGGAAAAATCATGGAACTTAATAAACAGATCTTGGATTTTACAGGGTCAAAACTGACACCCTTCATTTATGAGTCCATAACTCTGAATTCCCTTAGGATCTCTTATTGAAACATTGCAGGTAGATCCTACTCTAAAAAATACATAATATTACTAAAAAAATACATAATATTATAAAATACAAAAAATTCATTATCTTTTTCATATCACCGCTCCAAAATAACACATAATACCCCTTTTACAGAGTGTCTTTTTTGGTATTTGAATATTTCAATAATTTTTTAATCGGGGTGTATTTTTTGACTATCTCATTCTCAAGCTTGATCTAAATTCAATAAAGAGATGAGACAACTAATGACATCAAGTCTCAATAGCTTTGATACCAATGAAAGAATGACTAATATGATCTTGTCGGGAGATTTTTTTTTTTTTTTTCTTCTTTTCACATATTTTTCTTTTATTTTGGCAAATATCACTTACAAGTAGTCTTATTACAATAACTCTTGCTTCAAAGAAAATAAAACTAGCAAATTTAATATCATAAAAACCTTGATGTCACTACACCAATTTTCTATAAACAAGGAATATATCTATAATCCTTATGCTTGAAAATATAAAGACAATATAATGAAATATTATAAGAAACAAAAAGAGAGTGTCGGAGATTACCTCAACCAGACTTGTTATACCCCACACTATGTCACCAACATCCAATGGCGTGGTATCAACAATCAACCTTCCATCTCAATCGGGAAAGCAAGTTTAGGCCAAACCCTCTAATGGAATTATGAACTCCTTTATCACAAATCTCAAACCCTTAAGTGAATCCCCTTACTAACCTAGTTTAAAAGAGATGTTTCTCTTTTCTACCACAACCTTATTACTTAAAACCCCAATAAGAGATAAGAGATCATGAGAGAGTCGAGAGAACTACCACGAGAGAGATATCAAAGATGAGAAAGTGGGACGTGCGCTTTTGGGTCTCTTGAGAGATAGAGAGAAACTTTTTTAAGAGAAAGAGAGAAAAAAACTCTCTTAAGAGAGAGAAAGAGATATTCTAAGTGGACGTGTCCCTTTGTGGGATATGAGAGGGAGAAGTGAGAGTTAGGTGTAATAGATAAGGTGTAGAGATTTGGATAGTGATAAATCTATTTTTTATAGTGCTTGAACAATATTAGGATTTCTTAGGGTTTTCTTTGGCTTGCATCTTCTTGTGAAATTGAATATGAATCATTGATCTTGGGTGACTTGTGGGGTGAGAGGTTTGAGCAATCTATTCCATAGATGGGCCATCAACATTATGGAAGGTGATAGAATATTTATCCCCCATACCTAAACCATTTTCTCATCAATAGAAATTAAATAAAATAATTCCATTCATAATATTGTGCTTATCAAAATTATATACAAGCCTTCTCATGCTTTCTAAAAAATCCATTCAAAGCTTCCTCAAGGCAAAGACTTTCCAAAACATCACAAACCTTTTTCTTCAAGCCAAAGCTGATCCAACAAAATTGGAAAACTCCTTAAAGTGGGGCGGGCCACCCTAGGTGACACTCATAGGCCCCACCTAGGGTGCGCCTATATGCTTATTGGGCCTCCCATGTAAAAATAAATTAATTAAAAATTATATGATTTTTAGAAATTCATAAAATCCAATATGAATAATTAAATCAATCTAAAATCAATATCATTGTTTTTATAAATATAAATTTGATAAATAAAATATACAGATATCTAGAAAAATTCAAATAATAATCATATATCATTAAAAACAAACATAATTAAATTCATTAGATATGAAAATGATCTAGGAATTAAATAAATAAACACTAGAGCACTCCACCTTCAACTGTGGACTAAGGTCTACATTAGCTTTATCAAACCGACCCAATGTTTTTCATCAGCCACAGTCTATGTAGGGGCTCATTTGTGGGTCACCAAAGAGCCAAGGGGTCGAAATCCCAGTGTTTGGATTTCAGGTTTTCTCTTAGGGACATACCAAGGCCATTTAGACCTGATGCGGCCACAACTCCTATGACGTATAGTGGTATCTCTCGTACATGCATAAAACATTACCCTAAAATGTGGTTCGCTTTCCCGAAACAACTATCATATATGCATGTCGTGTGATGGCTTGCAGGTGAGGCTTTGGCCCTCGTTTCTGAAGGCCACCATCACATACAAGGGTCACATCGTCCATTGACTCACTCATCCGGGCATACGCCGATATCATCAAGGGATGACCTAGTAGAACCCTTATTGAATAGGTTTTTATGCTCAGGTAACATAGGTTTTTCTCAACCAACTGGCCTAGCTCGTCCGATATTAGCAAACATCGTTTGCTTAGTATAATTCATAAGGAACCGCACTCCCACTGAGTTCATGTTCCATTATATCAAAATATTTTATTACAAGCACTCATAAAGCCTTTAATGACCACACTTACCCAACAATATAGCCCAAAAATTGGACCTAAGGCTTTCCCTATCCATATATAAATTTGTCAAGAATGTTGAGTATAGCATACTAAAACAACATTCTTGTCATCCATAAAATTCGCTCTAAATCATTATTTATCTCCCCATCACACCATTTTACAAGAGTAAGATCATATGTGCAATGAAGGGCACAAGGTTAGCTTGTAGCAGATATCTTTGAAGGCAGCAATCCTCTCATCAAGTACGACAGATTTCTACTTGTTGGAACTGGCCTTAACCACTGTTTGCCTTACAAAGAGAATGAACGGACCATCATTGACCCCACATAATGTTTGCCATAGAAGGATATGAATGGATTATCATTGACCCCACTTGTACCCTTGATTCCCATGGACCCATATGTTGGCAATGCCAGTCTCAAAGTTGAGTTGGGGTTCCCAAAGCTAGTCAAATCTCTTTCTTTAACAAAACCTCAATAAACAGCATTTTATGCTCTAATAAATTATGGTGAAATTTTTGATTTGTGTTATCACATGTATGAAGTGGGGAAGGGGACCTACATGCAACAAACATGGGTGACAATGGGTTTATGTAATGAGCAAAGACATAAATGGAGCGTGTATCTAATGTGGCTCCTAAAGGCTTTTAAGCCAACTTGGTTGTTTGGGTTGAATGATTTCCCATCCCTTTCCATGAGTGTGGAAATTTTTTAAAACCCTAACACCATGTCTTAGTTATGGATTTTTTTTTAAAAAAATCCTTACACCATGTCTTAGTTATTTTTGAAGACATCATTGCCTTCGACAAACTGTAGGCAAAGTTCCCCTCAATAGTTAATGTCCTTGGTCGTTTATTGATAATTTTGACACAAGCCCTTTACATTTCAAATTGTAAGGGTATGATGAGATTGATGAAAAGTTCCGTGTTGAAACTAAGAAGGTAATATCCTCTGATTCCTTATCTATAGAGCTGTTTCCGCAACATGGGAAAGAGAGGTGGGCAAGGGCATCTGATTTTTATGCCAATCCAACAGAATGCCATACACCTTATACGACATTTCCAACAAATGGGCGAAAGTGACCCTCTCGAATGCACACATGTTGAGATGGCGTATTTGATAAGTGAGAGTTTTTGGAAATAGGAATTAAATATCTCACTTCCATATTTGATATTATTGTGTGGAAGCTACAAAATAGAAAAGCCGCCTTCCACACCTTCTATCAAAAGTGATGGAAGAGTAGTCTTCCATAATTTGTGAGAAAGTCCCTCCCAATACAAAAGACTCCAGGTATCAAACACTCCCTTAAGGAATTTGGCTTTGCAGGAAGAGAGAGAGAACATGTCTCTTAAGCAGTGATATAAAAAACGTCGGGTCAAAATGGAATCGCTAGGTCTGACTCAAGAATTGGTCACCCCGTTATGGTTTTACATATATATAGGAAAATTGTTGGTCTAACTCAAGAATTGGTTACCCCGTTCTGGACCGGTTTTTGCAATGCCTAATCAGAGTGACCAATCTATTTTTTAAATCATTGGTAAAACGGCGATCTGGACCCCCCTATTCACCAATTCGGACTGGTTTTTTGCCAGTTCACTGTTTTTTTGTCGGTTCACTGTTTTTTCCATACAATAAAATGGACATTCGGACTGCCGATTCATCAATCTGAATCGAATTTTGGGGTGCCCAATTCAGGTCACCGATCCGTCTTTTAAATCCTTGCTTAAAAAAGTTGGCCTTGGTAGAGAGAGAGAGCGAGGGAGAGAGAGAGAAAGAGAGAGAACGTCACTTATTAAGGAAGTTGCCTTTGCAACTTTAGTAAAAGGTTGATTCTTTCTCCAAGTAGTAATACGTTAGATTTATCGATTTCACCAAAATGAGAGCCATGCTTCGAAAGTTGCTCGATCTATATTTGTTGATTCGATGTTCCCCACATTGTTATCCTTTCTCATAAATTTGGAAACAAAACCGTTCATTATAAAAAACAGAAGAAAAAGTGGCAAGATTTCTTGCACAAGTTTGAGGAATGCGCCTGTAGAGCATGCTCTTGCAGGAGCATAATGTGCATGTATTCCCTATTATGAATATTTTTGAATATTTTTCCATTCGAAAGATTCGCTTTAGAAACTCCAATGGCTAATTTATAAATAAATAAATAAAATAGAAGTTCCTAAATGCTTAAATGTTAGATCTGATTATAAAAAAGAAGGTCCTCATATCTTATGTTATTTTAATTTCAGCTACATACAAACTGCCTCTGAAAATTTTCTTTTTCCAGGTCGGATGCAATATTGGAGAGGTTACATACCCAGAATGGGGGGCGGGGGTCTCTAATTATATAATAATTTTATACAAGGGAGTGAATAGATAATATGCTCCCGCAGGAGCATAATCTTTTCACCGGCCGCTTTTACATACGCCATTGGCATTTAGGGGTGGCAATGGGCCCCCCTTATTCCCATAAAGCCGCCGGCCCAATCTGTGGCCGAGCCAAGCAAGAAATAAACGAAGAAAACATATAATAAAAAGGGGGAGGGCCGGCACTAGCCCTAGACGAACCTTTGGATCACAATTTACGGCCCGTGGCCGTACTTCTAAGCAACGGGCCACCCGGCCCATTGCCTCACAAATGGCATTTTCGCATATGCAGGTGAAAACGTTGCGTTGTTACAGAGCACAAGATTAGAAGCTGAGTTGGCACGGGTGGAAGGCATCATCGCCATCCCCACGCACAAAAAGCAGTGGTCCCATCCAACGGTCACTCTACGTCCACATCGATCCAAAACATCTCAGGTTCCTGTCACAATCAGCGGCTAGGATGCCCCGCCCATACATCTCTCCACCTATAAAGGTGTACACGTGTCATCAATAGCATTGTTAATATCCCTCCCCACTTCCAGCCTTCACCGAATGTTTAACACCTTCACCACTCTCTCTCTACTAAATATATATCTCTCTCTCTCTCTAAAAAATCTCTCTTTCTCTCTCTAAAAAAAAAATCTCTCTCTCTAGGTCTCCTCCTCCTATCCAATGGTTTTTCTATACGAAAGCAGCCCTCCTGCAGTCCTATATATACAGCCCCTCGTCCGTGATATCCGGACCTTAAAGAAATTCAAATATTTCGTATAACTGCACAATTGTGTGTCGGACCGACTTTTATGTAGTTTTTACCTTTTGCTTTTCAGGCAGTTTCTCGGCCATGGAGAAGGGTCGCAATTCAAATTGCAGAGAGGATTGCGATGAGACACTGTCGTTTTCTTGCATGATGATCGGTTATCGGGAGAAATCCGGAAACTGCTCCCCGACTAACACTCTTGACTTCGAATTCAGCCCCTCGAATTCTATCGGCCACAATCAAAATTTCCCGGCAGATTTCCTTTTCAGCAATGGTCAGCTTTTGCCACATGTCTTTCCGGTGGGTGCCGACCCTCCGGGATCAAACTACTTGCCCACGACCAGTCGCAGCAGCAGCAGTAAGACCTCATCTTCAGGGAGCTCTGCGGTGTCTCTCAGCAACAGCAGCAGCAACAGCAGTAGCAGCGGCATAAATAGCAATAGCAATGTCATCAGCAATTCTCGACGACATAGCAGCATGAAGATTGCACAAGACTCCGAGAGATCACTAGCAAAAACTAGAGGAAGAAATGGAGGAGCATCTGGCCATGCACGATTTCATAGCTACCCTCCGGCGCCATGGCAGTTTATGGCACCGGTGCCGGGAAGAACCTCGTCTGCGAAGTCTGAGGATGCTTATGGTAAGTCCGAGATTCAGAAGATTTTGGTGGGTGTGAGAACTGGCGGGAAGGATAGTGGGAGGAGTCAGGAGTCAGGAGGGTCGTGGCTTGGCCGGAAAATTTTCCGACCGTTTGTTACTGCGTGTAAAGAATGCCATGCCCTCCAGCCGGTTGTAGTGCCAGAGGGTGGGTTTGTTGAGAAATAGCATTTTGTCTTTTTGTTTGTGCAAATTCATAGGGTTTGAAGTACGGGGAACCCTGTTCCAAATTTTTATTATTTTATTATTTTTTATTTGGAGATGGATAGCAGGTTTTTATTTATTTATGAATTATTGATTTTTTTTTTAAGAAAATTATAGTTACCCTCTAAAATGCTTGTATTCCACCCGTCAAAGCATCACATTTATAGCTTAGTTTTTCTTGCTTTTACCCCATAAAAAAAATTTTAATGTTTTAAAAACTAAACTACCATTCTCCTCTTTTAATCTACCAATTAAAAATCTCACTTCTCTCTCTACTCGCCCAATATCAGTCTCTTTATGCCTAAAATCAATCTCTCTCTCTCTCTCTTTGGCATTGAAAAATACATTTTTTGTGCTAGACCGGCTTCTGAAAATCTAGAAGCTTCGTGATCGGCCCGGTACACTTTTGTGACCTATCGAAAAAAAAAAAAAAAGCGGTTAGGCACAAAAGTGTGTTAGACCGGCTTCTAGCTTATGGAATTTCAGAAGCCGCGTGGCCTATCCGGCATACTTTTGTGTTGGACCTGTGCCGAACCGAAGCAAAAAAGTTAGGTTTGTCACAAAAGTGTGCCGGACCGGCAGCGAGCCTTCTATAATTTCAAAAGCCAGAAGCCGGTCTAGCACAAGAGTGTGCCTGACGAGTCATGAGGCTTATGGATTTCCAAAAGCTGTAAGCCGTTCAGGCACACTTTTGTGCTGGATCACATTTTTCAATGCGAGAGAGAGAGAGATTGATATTAGGCAGAGAGAGAGATTAATATTGAACAGAGAGAGAGTGAGAGAGAGGGCGGGTAGAGAGAGAAAGAGAGTCTTAACGGATAGGGTAAGGGAAGAGAATTGTAGTTTAATATTTAAAACATTAACCTTTTTTCCATTTATTGGCATGGTTAACATGAATATAGTGTTTTTGGTGTTAGAGAACTCTCCAATTGATCATCTCGACTTCAAAATATATGGATATTAAGAGAAAACAAAATTTTAAATCCAAAAAATAATACATCTTATAACACATTATTGGGATCATCTATTCTCAAGATTTTCAAGTGTTTGATGTGCTTGGTTTCTACTATTTTAGAGATTTTGATTTTTATAACTTGAGATTAAACTAGACTATTGAGTAATCATAAGGTTTATAACATTGAAACGATATCTCTAGGAAAATTTTAGAGGTGCATCTTACATGCAACCTTATACAAACATCGCCCAAACTTAAAAGAATAACTAGATTTCAATAGCTAAGAAATAAGCACAAGAGAAATGTGTATACTAGGATCCGGGGGAGCATATTGTATATTTACTACCTCAGGTAGAAGATCTACTTGGGAAGATTTGCTCGATATGAAATTTTGTGAAAGAATCACTACATGATTATTTTTAAAAGGAGATTTTTTTTTTTTGAAATTTTGAAGTTTTATAAAACTTATATCTCATCCTCCAAAAATTTGACGGTCTCTATTCATTATTTATTTCAAGTTCATAGAGAGTGCAATTTCTAATTTTTTATTGATGTTGATGTCTATGTGTTAAAGAGATCATATCTCTAAAAATTGTTGTCCTAAAATTTATTTTAGTTTACCCAAGGGAATAAATAGGCATATATTCCTACAGAAGTATGAAATCTTTTGGCTATAGAGAAAGAAGTATGAAATCTTTTGGCTATAGAGAAAGAACAGCACGGGTAGAGATGGCTTGAAACTGGGCTGCAACCACTTTAACAACGCGTTCATTCGGATGGTGGTGATTTTGCACAGGGTCTAAAAATCATTCGGATGGTGGTGATTTTGCATAGGGTCTAAAAATAGAAACTGGGGCATCCTGGTTGCCCATCGCTTTTTAAAAAACAAAAAAATAAAATAAAATTTATTCCACTTGTCTCTCTCTCTCTTCCCTCAGTCTTCTCGCTCTATCCTCTCTTTAAACTTTTGGGATCATTTCTCACGCTAGCTCTAATGCTCTCCCTCAATCTTCTCTCTTTCAACCTTCTCTCTATAAACTTTTGTGTTCTTACCACCCTAGCTCTAATGCTCTCTATCAAACTTCTTTTTTCATTCAACTAACCATATAATTTATTATGATTTAAAGCTATTAAGATGGATGAAAAGACCTTCGCCCACCTCTAATGGAGCGCGTAGTCATAATAATGCACAATCGAGAGGAGGAGAATGAGCTCCTTCCTCCTCCTCTGTCGTTGTGGAGAAGTCTGCCTCTATTTTTCCTAGGAGAGAGTCGACTTTTAGAGAGGTGCCTAAACTGACAAATGAGCAGCAAAAGCTTGCCCTGGTATGATTTATCTTGTTGATGCACTCCTGAACCCGCCCCTAAAGTTTCTCTCTTCTTTTCCTTTTTCTTTGTTATTCTCTCTTTTTTGGTACCCTTTTCTTGCATATGGACTAATGTGAGGTGTTTTTACATATCTAGGATACTTGTAATGGGATTTATGGTCGGCCATCTGTTTTCATCATTATAGGAGTTGGATAAAACGAGTTGGGCATTGTTATATTCTTGAGTTTGTTGTTCTTGTATTGGGGTTAATGACGTGATAATTTATTGGGGGTTAATGACGTGTTGTTGTTTTTTTGATTTATTTAATAATTTGTTGCAACTGAATCAAATTGAGTTTTTACTTGTTCGTCGGATAGGATCTTTTTGTGTAGGGCTTAATAGAATTGATTTGATTCATGAGTGCATTCATGAATTTGAGGTGTCATGTTCCTTATTTGCCTAATGTCACTCCATTTTTTATTTGCATATGAATTAATTTGAACCGTTTATTCCTTGTGAGATAGGATCGTTTTATGTTGGATCGTATGAATATTCTGATTTATAATTGGATGAGATTATTCATTGGGGGATGGATGAATTAGAGTTTTTATTTTGTTTTCTTGATTCTTTTTTTTTTTTAATGATTTGTTGCTGCTGAGGCAAATGGAGTTTAATTGTTTATCGGATAGGATCTTTTTGTGTTGGGATTTATAGAATTGATGTGATTCATGAGTGCATTCATGAATTTGAGGTATCATGTTCCTTATTTGTCTGATGTCTCTCCATTTTTTTGTTGCATACAAATTAATTGGAACTTTTTATTCCTTGTGAGATAGGATCTTTTTATGTTGGATTGTATGAATTGTTTTGATTTATAAGTGGATGAATAAGTTGGGATGGGGTAAATATGTTGATGCCATGATTAATAGTTGTTTATTTTTTTGGCTTTGTTGATTTAAGTTGTTAGAATCCCCTTTATTCCCTTGTCTTTCCACTATTACTGCAGTTGAATCGAGTTGAGTTTCTCTTAGAGGTTGGACCTTCTTGTATTAGGCTGCAATTTTCCTGTAACTGTTGTAGCTAAACCAATGCAAGTTTTACTATAATTGATAGTATATAACGATTTAGATTTGGGTGACGGCATGGACATCATTAAAATTTATTCTTCTTTGGATTTGTTCCTAAAAAATATGTGGGTCATATAGTTTTTAAATGTCGGAATACTCGATGGTCTAGCAAATCTGGTTGTAATGAGTGAATCTACGTGTGCATGCGATAGTATGCCTTAACAGACGCTCGATCCTACCTGGTATATATGATTGATATCATTTTTGATATATACATACAAACCTCTCTTTATATATATTTGTCTTTGATATTCTAGTATGATGCGTGCTTATCTCCCTTATCACATTTTCATCATATGGTTAAGAAGTTGCAAAAAAGAAGGATCATTGAAACTTGCCACCCTTTTGGATTGTTACCTCGAACTCCTGGTTAGAAATTCCCATTCATGAGAAGTAATGGGTGGAGGAATGCACTTCTGATGTATTCCCTTTCAAAGCGACACACTCAGAATGGCTACTCTTCTTCAAGTTCCAATTTTAATTCATATGTTCTAAGCACAATACTTTTGGTTGAGACCTCCCATTCCCTTAACGAGCGGCTAAAGAGATCTTTTGGAGTGCACTATGCAATTGGAAAGGCTTTTTATATAATAAATGTGCTAGAAAGCCTTTGCAGTTAGTACTAATGACTAAATTTTTAGGAAAAGAGCTTCGACTTAATTGGTTAGTACTTGATGATTTGCAATGCTACGTCTTAGACTGGTAGGGGTCCTCTCCCCACTGACTCACCAAGAAAAAATGAGCCGTTTATGCAAGAAATTTAACAATGACTTGATAGTAATTTTGTATGAAAAATTATGAAATATAAATATCTCCATTTCTATCTTTGTTATTGCTATTGGGGGTATGTTGATTGAGTTATGAGTGGATTTTTCTTCTTGTTATTGCAAATTCAAATGGTTTTTATCGATGGATAGATGGATTGAATTTTAAGTGGATTTTTCTCCTTGTTATTGCTAATTCAAATGGTTTTTTGTCGATGTTACCTATACTGTGGGCAGGTTGATTGTCTCCTTGTTACTCTATGTTCTTGGAATCATAAGACAGTCAAATATACTATAAAACCATTTTGGTTTAATTTCTCCAAGGATGCATTTTATTTAATTTTGGAATCAAATAAAAATAACACACTTTTGTTCTTCTCAATTAACCAGATATTATGTGCATTGATATTGGAGATCCCCCTCCTCTCTCTCT